ACCTGCAACTCCCCGCACAAGCTCGAGCCGCGGCAGAGTTTCCCCCCCTCCCCCCCTTCCCCCCCCCCCCCCCCCCTTTTTTTTTTCCTAGACATGGACGAGAAAACGACATTGCCGTGGCGGGAAGGGAAAAGAGTCTGTAGATCTACTTCAAGAAGGTGTTTCTCGAGCCAATTAGAAGGCGAGACTTTTCTTCTGAAGTAAGGCGGCAAGGTTGCTGCTATCCCTGGCCTCTTGCTACGCTTCGTACTATATAAGATCCCTCTATACTCCCGGCCTCCAGTCTCTTGATTTCTTGTGCTTCAACACTTGGCTTGCTTTTACCAGCATTCAAACGTTGCAGCATTGTGTACCCTCATTGCTAGCCCTTTCCTGCGGCAATCCCACCTCTGTGCGTTCCACTCTGCTCCTATTCCTCGTTCCCGCCTCAAGCACTTTTCCTACGTGTAACTGATGAGAGCCCCAAGTTAACAACATGTGTAGACATGATGGCTTCCTCTCCAGCGTGGAAACTTCGGGTTCTTAACCTCGCGGCCGATTACAAAACGGCCCTCCAAGAGGGAAATTTCTCAAAGTTTGCGGAAAAACGAGGCCATGCCAATTACACCGAGGATGAGATTAAGCGCATGGCCAATGAATTTCCTGGGATAGAGACAGTCATGGAGGATCAAACCAGGAGCCACCAGGGGCTCACTGATGACTATAACAAGGTCACCGATGATCTAGAATCTGGCGGCGCGGATAAGCCCACTGCTATAGAACGAGTTAAAGCACAGGCTGAAAAGATGAAAGCGGAATCTATTGCCAATATCGACGCTAATACTAAGAGAGTTCTGGCTTTGATTGAGAGCCTCCCTGAAGACCAGCAGGATCTGGCCGCTGATTTCTGGGAGTCGCTCAGTGATGGGTTTATGAAATTTTGGAAGGAAGTTCTAAATGCAATCGAAAGAATCTTTGAGGCGGTGGTGAATTGGCTTAAAAAGGTTTGGGAGCAAGTGAAGGCGTGCTGGGAGACGGTAAAAGGGATCTGGGATGAAATTTGGAAGTGGCTGGAAGGTCTCAAGGCTTGACCGATGACGGAATGAGTCCTGGCGGACCAAAGGGACCGTATAAGGGTCTTCGACGTCAGATATCAGGACTACAAAGTCAGCCATGTCGTTGTGTCAGGAACAAGTCGCTCATTCAAGCATACTTATCTCCTGTTGGGGCCCACGCAGTCACGTCCGAGGCACCATATCACTGTTGCTGTGCAGGCATTCTCTAGCTAGCTCTCTTCTTCTTCCATCTTGATCAAACTTTCCATCTGTTTCAGCTCTCTTGCGATACAACTCGTCAGTTTTATCACGAGCTCTTGTGACCTTTCTGTAGATTCCTTTGCGCTGTATCTTCAAGTGGTGTGGGGAAACTACATCACCACATTTACATAGCCAATGCAAGCACAGCCCAATCGCCGGCACTTGCTAGCCATCTCTGGTGGTTTTCTTAATTCGGGAGCAAAGGTCAACCGTGGGTGTGGTGTGTGGGCGCCTGATAACTGGACCTCGAAACCTTCGTGCCTCTTTACCTGCTGTGACGAGAAGGAATGGTAGCGGAAAGCCTTGTGGTAGACGTTCCGACCAAGGCTACGGGCCGAATTCGATTCCCAAGAGAAGCACGGCATGACCTACATAAATGGTCCAAGAATGTACGTGATCGGCCTTTGGTTGGTGGCGCGTTTCAGCACAACCATCTTGTCAGAAATATCTTACCTGAGGTTAGGGGTTCACAAAGGTAGAACTATATGCATCGCAGCGTCCTCATTAGACGAGATCTGTGTACCTGGGGAATTATACACGTACGGCGTGGCTTGTCAAAGTACACTATGCCAACCAGAGCCAATAGCACCTATATGGAACTAATTGTTTCGCACAAAACCTAATGATGTGATTGTATTTATCAAGATTGTATAGCCTAATCAAGGTATCTTGCATGTATGGAATAAATCTCGAAACCGTTACCCATACAATTCCGTGCTGCGCGCACCGCCGATTTGATCAGCCTGAGCGCTCAACTTCCTTTTTTCCAAAACAATCTGGGAATCACTCAACCTCATTCTCAATGTCTCGGTGGGCGGTTTGCTGATAGAGGCGTCGAATGCTGCCTGGCACATGTCTTGCTTTGAGGGAACGGCTGATGGTGCCCCATGGCTCATTGATCCTATGACATGTCCAAGCCTCGTCAAATGGAGATCCTTCAGGTCCTAGGTCGTACCACGCCGAGAACCAGACGCAGTCTTCACCAACACAAATAGAGAAATCCGTGGGACATAGGGTGCACGAGTCCGTGAGTTCGATGCCACGCTGGTCATCAAGCAGACTCTCTCGAGTTGCCCTTCGAACAGCCAACGGTTCAGTCAATGGCTGCGGTGACTGTGCAGCAATCCTTGCTGCTTCCTGTTCTCCTGGTTGCTCAATCCGCTGGAAAATTTTGGCCATCAAGTACCCTGGAACGTACTGATGGTTGCATATGAGGAGATGGGCGTTGTAGCCACGACACAGGGACTCGATCGGCTCTGATGTCGCATTGTAGTGCCACGTGTACTTTAACAAATACCTCCCGTTGACAATTTTTGCTCTCGACGCATACGTCACATGTGCGATCCATGAGTCCTGAGGGTCGGGGGGGTGGTTGCCGAAGACCGGGTCCAACAGCTCGGCAAGGTGACGCCTCCGATCGGGGTCCTGGACGCCAAGTCGTGTATATTTCAAGACGATCTGAACGTGTCGATGCTGGGGCCAACACAGCTTTCGTCCGATGACGGCGTTCCCGGGCTTCCGAAAGCAGCTCGTCGCGAGAGGAGACTGTGGTGTATCTTGGCGGTTAACTGCATGAAGCGCCAGACATATCTCACAAACCCACATGTCTGGAAGGTCTCGGGCGATTGCAGTTAGGTAATCCAGGAAGGTGAAGAAGTCCAGATCCCTTCCTGAGCATCTTGTGAGTCGATTGGATTGAATGATGCTGTGAAATGAGGAACAAGTTCCCGAAAAGACTAGTCTGCTGTCCACAGGCAATTGTTCTGCTATGGCGAGAAGCAATTCGGGTGGGAGGCTTTCAAGGCCCTGGTGCGCCGTCTGCTCCATCGCCGGCAATTTTCAAGAATTTTTATTCAATGTCGCGTCGAATAAGCGCTATTATCAGACTGTTTCTCGTGATTGTGGTGCAAGTTCTTGCATGGTTGCCAACGGGACTGGAATCACTGGGACTTGTCTAGAAAATCCAAGAGAATGAGATGCAACTGGAAATGCACAATTTACATAGCTACGAATACAATATGTTACTCGGCACTGCAGCTACCATCGTGGTGCGGAAAGCTTAGTTTCTGCCTCGCTTTGCACATTGCCTTTTGTTAGAAATGCATCATCAAATCTTAACACGGCCTTGGGTTTTCTACCTTGTATTACACTCTGTAATAAGCTTCGCACCAACCTAGAGGAGCTTTCATTTTATCACAACTATATATAGAAGCTAAGCTACGATGTACCAGGCACATGTTTCACTACTGGACTGTTCACGTCGGTCATGTACTTCCATATGTATCCATGGTTACTTTTCTGCAAGCTAAATTTCATCCGGGGCTCTGGCCTGTCTCCCTTTGACTGCTTGCTACGGTCACGATTTCCTCATTACTATTCGAAGAGCAACACGATTTTTGCACCCGCAACGCCACATGTGTCTGCTCGGCCGCCACCTAAGTTTCGGACCCATATGTGAAACTTTGGCAGACAAAGCCATTCAACTACCTACTGCCTATGTGGCCCTAGGAAACTCTAATCACTCTGCGAAGTAGATTACTTGGTTTATTAGCGTTAAGAAAAACATTAAGCTTGCTGACGGGGAGCCTACTTCTACAGTACGTGCCGTACGTGCGGCATAATTGAGTGCAAGCCTCTGAACAATAGAGAAGGACTCTATTACATCCATTCTCTCTTGGCTGATACTACTTGCTGTCACTTTCACAAAATTGGCTCAGCTTACCTCCCGCAAATCCTCCTGGCCCACGATTTAACACAAGCTCTCAGCCAAGGCTATTGCAGGCCTTATTCTCCCATCGGTTGGGCTTGAAATTGAGGAGCTATTAGTATATTGTCTTCTAATGCTGTGAGTCATACAGAGTTCCTTCTTGCCGCCCGGGAAATACTGGATGTTTCGGCACGCGATTACCGACATGGGATGCTTCTCGTACTCCATTGGGCTCACGCAAAGTGAGCGTATTAAACGCTAAACCCTTACCATTTCAGCCACAGGTTTATTATCCAGCACACAAGGGTCACGAAACAGCAGTCAATGTGTGGCTAATATTCAGCAAATCTGTCGAAACGTACATCAGCCATTGATGATGAGGGTCTACAGATGCGGTAGTCGCAATGGACATCAGAACTTTCGTAGCCAAAATGTAGCCGATTGTCCCAGTCAAGTTGCTACGTCAAAGTGCTTAGGGTTGCCATCTGTAAGAACAGAGAGTAGATCGTTGTAACTAAAGCTTTTAGATGCAATATTTTGAACTAGAGAAGTCATGAACTATCTGCTATAACTAGAACATACGTAGATTTTGACCTGCCAAGTGTTCCCTATTCGGATCCTGTTACGGCGGAAGCTAAGACTAGGGTCCGCGGTGAGGAGCCCAAAGCGGAGAGGCTAAATGTATGACGTCTTATCATCTAAAACTGTCGCAAACTGCCATTGGTAGTGTGGCAATCGAAATACATGTATAGATGGGAAGCCGAAGCCCACATGCAGTTATCCAAATATCACTATTGAGGGCCGGGAAACCCCGTGGCAACGGTCGTTGCTAGCTTTCAGCCCAAAGTAGCGTGTCTTGTGTCCTTGGACGAATCAACATTCGTCAAGGAAGCTTCCGTTTTATTGGCGTTGAGAAACCGGTCGTGGGAGGCGGCGTCATCGGTGGAGAAGGATGTTCCTTCAAGCTATTGCGATGAGTTCACGCCTCGACGCCGCCCGTCCTTCGAATACAATTGTGTGCCTTTATTAAAACAAGATGAAGACAGAGGCGCTAGATTAGTACAAGGATTTCGGAATCAACACCCCTAGAAACGGGCAGAATACGGCTCCTTCAACATTCACTCCAATTCAAGAACTAATCCGCAGTGATGGCGACGCGTCGATTATTTTCCTTGAAAACAACATGCCAGCAATCAGAAGTACAGACGTTTCAGCGATGATGCATTCTGCTCAGCCACTAAAAATTCTGTGCCCAACACTGCCGGTTACTTTTACCAGATAACCAGATCATAGCCATTAGATGTGTAGATCAATACGCGTTTCGGGGATGCTGTTGCCAGGTAGTGGAGTAATCTCATGGCTATAGTAGACGCCACATTCAGAGGCAACTTGGCAAGAGTTGGGGGCTTTCACGTTGACTACCTTGGCCATTGGCCAAGTATAGGGAGCCGACGGAGTTATTTGAGGTCTAGAAGCCGAGGCTTTTCTCGCAAAGTATCCAGACATTTTCTCGGGGCTTCGGAATTCCCTTCCTCAGAGCCGTTATATAGAAAGGAATAGTTATTACTTCCAAGTTAGTATTGCCAAATTACCGATTCACCTCCTTATGATTGCCGCTGGCTCGGCGGATACCGCTTTTTCAGGTCTACAGAGCGTGCTGCCGACGTTGCCATCGGATAAAGTCTACCTGGTGGAGTTGATATGTAATGGCCAGAATGTTCATAACGGCGTCTTCAAGAACACAGCATAACATGCTTTATAATTACTGCTCTCGGGGGGGATGCTCGCAATTAAGTCTTCTATCTACAAGTCATACATAGCATAGCGGTTCAGATCAAGCGAGAATGTACCGGCCTGGACAGCCATTACAGGCCGTCATGTTCTCGAAAAGAGCTCCAATCCCCACAGGATACTTCTTGGCATCAGTCGCATGTTTACTCTGTTTCCATATTGGGATGTCTCATGGTTAGTGGGCGTCTCTTTTACAATCGGATGCCTTCTCTTCGTCGTCTCGGGACTATTCTGCTGGCTACCGATTGCCCATCCCGAGACCCAGTTCCCCCATGAAAAACTAATGGCTGGAGGCGTCTCGACATTTGTCGGTGCGACATTATTTCAGATCGGCGCTATACTATTATTTCTCGAATCGTACAATGATCGTGCCGAGACACAATTCGGCGGGGCCATGGAGGATGTGTTCGTGAACCGTCTAAGAATTGCTCGATGGGTTCGGAACCACCGCGCCAAACATTTCGATGCTAGGGACCCTTCAAAACAGCACCTGTACCGACACGATGGTCACCCCAGGTCAACATTTTCTGGGCTTCTCCCTGCAGAAAATATTGATAGTGAACGTAAAGAACCACAACGGGGCTCAAAGGGCAATGATATAAACTTTACGGAGCGCGCTTGGCAATAGTGGCCATCCTGGCATGACGTGACGACGCACTACGTCTATGGGATTGGTTTTCTCGCATCATTTACAATGTCTGTTGGTGCCACTGTCTTTTACATTTGTGGTACCCTCGGACTGCCTGGTATATTTTATTTCAAAATCTCGGCGACGCGGTGCGCAAAGGGGCCTACTACTTCTCCTATTTGCTTGGTGGTGTTTTGCTCGCTGTCTCATCTCTCTTGTGTATCCTGGAAAAGAAGTCCAACTGGTACACCCCGCAGCCTTTCAGGGTTGGTTAGCACGTAGGCGTGTGGTGATGATTGAAGACTGAAATGGCCATTAATGCCAGGGCTACAGTAGAAAGTATGGTAAGGAGTGCCCTGGGCTCAAGGTCTTGTGAGGAATTCTCTTTCCGAATGCTAGACGGCAAAGCAGTTGGCGCAGACCTTGTTCTTGTGGTGTTACTGGCGGATGGGGAACCGCCTCTATTCTCAGAGGATTTGCGGGATTGGAATGACTATGCAGCAACTGTAGGTGCTGACCATGGGTCCTATTACGTGAAGATGTCACGGTGCACTTGTTGTCTTTTCAAGGCTTCCTTCGGCCTCTTCCAGGTGGCGCGTTTAGGTTTTGAGTGTTGTAGTGTGCAGGTGTATAGCTTGCCGGAGGGCGCTTTACTTCAACGACTCATGGTGGAAGTGAGAGAGTTTCTTGACCCCTTATCCGGACAAACGGATGTGGAAGATGGTGAGATCATCGAGGAACGGACGGAACGGAAATGTGTTCGTCGTAGGCAGTCCACGCAGTGAAGTGGAACAAACTTGATAGATGGTAGCTAGTAAAAGTTGTAAGCAGTTGTCCGTAGCAAAGTGTGAATAGACTAGGACTATGGATTCCGGCCCGTGCGGCCTGAGCACCAGCACCTTAAGGGACCGTAGGGACCGTCGGTGTTCAAATTCGTTAGAAAGATGTATGAGTACGACTGTGAATAGCTTCACCTGATGTGTGGGTGTACAGTGCCCCGACAAAAGTCACGATAATGTGTGTGACTAATGTTAAGTGCGACCTATAGTGTAAATGACAATGAATTCAGACGGTAGTTGTCACAGAGAATATGTGTGGCCCATAGGGTGAAAAAGTCGAACAGGTTTTTGTGAGGAAACGAACGAAAATTTGTATGGGACAAACAAAGGAAATACCGAGGGACGAGGTACCCGGAAGGTTGGGGAAACGACGGAGGAGTGACAAGCAGCGAGAGTACAGCCGCCCGCTTATGTTTGGTAAGGGCGGCGCTGCGTTAGCAGATCACGGGGTCCCCAGCCTTGCCGCTTAAAAACGGATGAGGCTCCTAGGCGACTGGAGACGTAGGTCGGAAGGAAGCTGCATCTATTAAGTGGCTGGCCCACTTAGTTGTTAACGGGTAGATCCCTTTGAATGTGCGGAGGTGCGTTGGATGTATAGGACCCATTTTTTCTGCGATACCTAGCAGGAACCTTTTTGGCAACAAGGTCAGCCACTAAACCTTCCACTTTAAAATCATCATACTAAAAATTCAGGCTTTTATAATGGAGCCGAAGAGTGACATTGCAAAGCATCTCAAATGCCTCGCTTGTCAGGGCTTCCAATGTGGCCAAATTCGGTCACAAAGCTCAAAAAGGCCGCTCGCAGAGGCCTCTGGGAATAGCCTCAAAAGGGCTCGTTGCGTCACCTACGGCTGCGATAAGT